TTACAGCTTTGTATTCTCATATGGTATTTTGTGTAATGTAATGAGTTTGTAACAACACACTAACAAAAAATTGCAAACGTTAACAAAGATTGCTTCTAATAAAAGAGGGTGTCAGAGCTTGCCCTGGGCTCTCATCCCGATTTGGCTTCAAGACGACTGCCTCAGTGTCTTCATTCATGAGAGACCACCATAGGCGACCACTGATCTAGTCCAACCCCCTGCCCAAGTGGGAGACCCTATGCCATTTCAGACGAATAGTTGGCCAATCTCTTCTTAAAAACCTCCAGTGTTCACAAGCACCCACAACTTCTGGAAGCAGGTTGTTCCATTCATCAATTGTCAGAAAATTTCTCCTTAGGTTGCTTCTCTGGTAAACAGAACAACAGAATAACAGAGTTGGAAGGGACCTTGGAGGTCTTCTAGTCCAACCCCCTGCTCAAGCAGGAATTCTGCTCAAGCAGAATTCAAGCAGAACTCTGGACAAATGGCTGTCTAATCTTTTCTTGAAAACATCCAGTGATGGAGCACCCACAACTTCTGAAGGCAATTAGCCTGTTCCACTGGCTAATTGTTCTCACTTTTAGGAAATTCCTCCTTCATTCCAGGTTGCTTCTCTCCTTGATTAGTTTCCATCCGTTGTTTCTTGTCTTGCTTTATGGTGCTTTGGAGAATAGCTTGACCCCCTCTTCTTTGGGGCAGCCCCTCAAATATTGGAACATCATGTCACCCCGGTCCTTCTTTTCATTAAAGTAGACCTACTGAATTCCAGCAACCATTCTTGATATGTTTTATCCTCCAGCTCCCTAATCATCTTTGTTGCTCTTCTCTGCATTCTATCTAGAGTCTCAACATCTTTTTTATATCATGGAGACCAACGGACACCATATCTTTCTTTCTAGCTATAAATTTATCGAGTGACATAATTCCCGGCAAACATTCCCCATCTATACAAATAGCACAGACATAAGTATGGAACGTGGATATTTAACATTTTGTATCACTTCTTCATGTTTCAAAAGCATATATCAACAGCATATTTCAAAAGCATATATCAACATTAAATGATTTCTCTGTTTGCCCCTTTATAGCCTCTGGAAGCAAATACTTTTTATTTCTTTCCTAATCATTTAAATGCGTGTTGAAAGAACAGTTACTTTAGTTCTGTAGTTTGTTTGTTTTTTTAAAAATAAGCAATCAGCATTTATGTCTACATAGATTCTCAGCCATCCAGGCAATGGTTGTTCCAAAGATGCTTTATGAAAAAGGCGACTGGATTTTGTTTTTCCTTGAAGACATTTCGCTTCTCATCCAAGAAGCTTCTTCAGTTCAGTCAGACTTGAAGAAGCTTTTTGGATGAGAAGCGAAACATCTTCAAGGAAAAAAAAAGAAAAAGCACCTTTGGGACAATCCATTTTAAGATAGATTCATTTTAGTCATGGACATGGCAAAACAATTGAGGTTGATTTTTTAAAATCTCCATGTTGATTTTATAAGCTTATAAGGTTATGTGTTTGAGAGAGTGAAGCATTTTAATAACATTATTATCGATTCATTAACCATATCGTTCCTCATCCTGAAAATCTGTTGAGAACAGGAATTCCTAACTTGAACTTCCAGATTGTTGGACTTTCTGGTGTTTTCTGGAACAATATTTTTTCTTTGTTGCATCCAACGTCTATGGGAGATTCTCAGCCATCCAGGTCATGGTTGTCCCAAAGGTGTTTTGTTTCAAAAGGCGACTGGACTTTCTGGTTTTTCCTTGAAGGTGTTTCGCTTCTCATCCAAGAAGCTTCTTCAGTTCTGACTGTTGCATCTAATCTTCTTTATTAAGAGAAAGGAAGAGATGGAAAGGATGACTACTTTGCTCAGGAAAAGCGCTATGCAGAGAACAGAGATGGATAGTTGTGGTGTGTCTGTGGAAAACACAGTGGATTGTGTGTCTGTGGGGAAAACACAGTGGATTGTTTTGATGTAATCATAAACTTAGCTTGTGTAATACATTTTACAAATAAATACATTTTACAAATAAAATAAAATAATAAAATAAAGCCTTGCTCCATCATATGTATTCAAGGGTTTCATCAGAGTACAATAAAAAACAACAACATGAAAATGGCAGACACTTTTCACTCCCCTATATGCTTTTGTCAAGTCCACTGCAGGAAATCGTCTATCTTCATTCCATCCATAGATAGCAATAACACTCAGAATTATATACCGCTTCACAGTGCTTTCCATCCCTCTCTAAGCGGTTTTGCAGAGTCAGCCTCTTGCCCCCAACAATCTAGGTCCTCATTTTATCGACTTTGGAAGGACGGAAGGCTGAGTTAACCTTGAGCCGGTCAAGATTGAACCCCTGGCAGTGTGCACTGAGTTAGCCTGCAGTACTGCACTCTAACCACTGCACCACTGTGGCTCAGGTAGTCCTTAGTAAGGCCACACCTGGAATCTGCATCCGGTTTTGGTCGCCACATTATAAAAAAGATGTTGAGACTTTCGAAAGAGTGTCGAAAAGAGCAAGAAAGAGGATTAGGAGCTTGTTCTGACCCAAACCCTTTTCCAATAAAAGAAACACGAACCAAATGGAACAGGAACCTTTTAATGATTCTTACGAATCCCCTGTTAAAAGGCTGTTGCAAACTAATTAACTTTGATAAGCACAAGCCTCGCCAAAACTGTGCAAGGCTGCCAAGAATAACAGATAACAAATAACACCTAGAGATATTTTACAACACAAGAGTCTTCAAATAACAACTTAAGATAGTGTAATGTCCATGAGGCTGAGTTTCAAAACATCTTTGCTTCCTGCAAAGAACGTTCGCTTCACAGTTGCCTTTTATCTTCTTGAAGGAGGGGCCATTACCTTGCAGCTTTACTCCTGAGTTGCCTGTGCTGCTGCAGCTGCTCTTTCCTATGAGCAGCTCTGTGTGCACACTTTGACATAAGACATAAGAATTTATTTGTCATTACACTCGCAAGCGGGTGCAACGAAATGAGGTGCTCTTCCACAAAGTAAAACTGGACAAACACCACTAAAAAGAAAAAAAATTAAACTAAACACAACCAACCATACAATAATCTCTATGCAATTTAAAAATGTAAATACCCCATTACTCTCAGCCATTAAATTCCACAAAAATTCTTATGCACTTGGCACAGGCTCCTCAGGAACCTCCTCCTCGTTGCTGCCAGCCCCCACAATCTCTGAAGACAGCAGTCCACTCCCTAATGGTCCTGGCCCCTCACCTGAGTCCTCTCTCTCCTCAGCTGTCCACACCTGCTGCCGGCTAACCACAACAGAGCCTGGTGGCTAAAACATACAAAGAATGGTTGCAGGAATTGCGGGTGTAGTCTAATGAAAAGAAGGACTGGGGGTGAGATGATAGCGGTCTTCCAATATTTGAGGAGCTGTCCTGAAGAAGATGGGTCAACTATTCTCCAAAGCAACAGAGGTCAGGACAAGAAACAATGGATGGAAAGTAACCAAGGACAAAAGCAACCTAGAACTTAGGTGAAATTTCCTAACGGCGTTAACAATTAACCAGTTGGAATGGCTTGCCTTCACAAGTTGTGGATGCTTCATCACTGAAGGCTTTTGAGAAGAGACTGGACAACCACTTGTCTCAAATGATAAAGGGTTTCCTCCTTGAGAAGGGGGTTAGACTAGCAGACCTCCAAAGTCCCTTCCAATTCTATTATAGCACTGGCACTTAGACTTATATACCACTCCACAGTGCTTTGCAGGCCTCTCTAAGTGGTTGACAGAGTCAGTATATTATCCCCAACTCTCTGGGTCCTCATTTTAGCGACCTCAGGAGGATATCAATCTTGTGCCAGTCAGAATTGAACTCCTGGCAGTGAACAGAGTTAGCTTACAATACTGTATTCTAAGCACCGCGCCATCACATCTTAGATGTAGATATTTTTTAAAAAATCATCTTTTTACACAGATGTGGTACATACTGATTTTCTTCTCTTTAAAAAACAACAACATCCTCCTCATTCCTAGGCATCATACAAACCTCGTCCTCATCCCATCCAAAACCTATTTTTGCTTACATCCCAGAAGGAAAGGAAATGATAGCTGATTTTTTTTTAGAAATGGTTGATTTTTATAAACCTTTCCCTATTGAAAACTGACTCATTCAGCAGTTTTCGTTCCTTAGAATGAATCTTGCTCCTTTCTAAATCTATAATTCGCTCCCCAAAAGTTCGCACTTCCTTCTCTCTCTCCTTATCTCCTGTTTTTATAACTCCAACCTCGTTCCAGAATGGTTCAGTGGACAAGATCTCCAATTTTCTCCAACATCTTAATTCTTTGATGGGGTTGCAGTCTGGTGCATTGACAGGACTTTGTTATGAAGACAAAATGCAACAGAGAACACAAAATATTCCCAGGAAGGGGCTCCATATATGACAAGCCCTTGCCTCTTAAGATTCAGTATCTTAAAACCTTAAATGGCAACTCATAAAATATGTCAATGGTCTGTTTAGAGCTGCCAACAGAAAGGGAGGAGGGAGCAGTGTGGCAGCTTGCAACCAAAACTGCATTCCATAAATAGTTTTCAAAGATAGTAACTAGGTAACCGAAGTTTCTGCCGTGCAAAATTCTAACTGGAGAACATGATTGATGACTCTGGACTATGGAGGTGTCCCATTGGAGAATATGAATTACCATACACCCAGGGCATTGGAGGGGGGGGAAACCAGGCTCAAGGGTGACAATGAATGATGTGTCTCAGAGTCGGCTACACCCAGGCAATGCTGGACCTTTTAACTCCCAATAAATCCTTTTGAAGTTTTGGAAGTTTGGCTTGAGACTCAGGATTTAAATGGGGTTAAGTGCTGGAATGCTGACATTAAGTATATTAAAGAAAGACAGTTTAAATCATGATATATTAAGGAGGAATACAGTCTAATCTTTAAAAGATCTGAAAAAGACAGAGAAAGCTGCAAAGTGTAAATCAGCAAATTCTCAGAAGAAAACAAAAGATGTTTACTTCCTTCTAGTTGTTGCGTAATGAAGAGCGTGGCGGTTTCATTGACCCGAGACTGGGAATCCTGCTGGACCAGGCAAAGGAACATGGAGAAGTTCACGTCTTCGGTGGCCATCATCTCGAGGCTGCTGTTGAGGGAAAAGGTCCCATCGGGATTCGAGGTCTTCATGCCAACCTTTCCTTTTTTGGCTTGGGCACCCTTGGCAAACAACTCCACTTTTGCATCTTCTGGATAAAAGCTTTCTGCATTGCAAGTGACCGTCACCGGGGTGTTCAGCTGGATGGGAGAAGGTGGGTTGATCTCAAGTCGCACCTTGGGAGGAACTGAGCAAAAAAGATCATTCAAAAGAGCCTCAACTTCATGATTCCCACATGCAGAATGGGGTGGAAGTCCCAAGTGATTCTGCTTACCCATTGTTGCATTGGGGGAAATAATTCCAGGACAAGTAGGATTAAAATATATCTCTGTCAGGGCTCCAACACATCAACCCCAGGGGTGGGATTCAAATTTTTTAACAACTGGTTCTGTGGGCATGTCTTAGTTGGTGGCATGGCTTGGGGGTCATGTGACTGGGTGTGACTGGACGTGGCTTGGTAGTCATGTTATTGGCTGGGTGTGGCCAATTCACATATCACTCACATCGAGGCACGCATCTCCTCTCCTGGCCTCTCGTGACTGTGGGGATGCTGCAACAGTCGTAAGTGTGAAAAAGGGTCATAAGTCACTTTTTTCAGTGCCATTGTAACTTTGAATGGTCACTCCACACAAGCAAAGTACCAACAGAGGAGGGGAAAAAACTCCAGAGAAGTTCCTGAGACAGGAAGTCTCGTCCTGCCAAGAATGTAATAAGGGTTAACGGAGAGGCAATTTCTGTAAGCAACACCAGAATGTTTCCTTCCTGGCTCCCTTACAGGATTAGCCCAGTAATTTCTTCTAACAACCGGTTCTCCAAACTGCTTAGAATGTTAACAACCGGTTCTAGTGAATAGGTGCAAACTGGTAGAATCCCACCCCTGATCCACCCCCATTAAAATCATACGTCTCTAGACGCATCTCTCAGAGTAAACAAAAAATGATTTATTAGGAGTGGCCATGTTGGTGTTAGCTGGATGCAGCCGACACTAAAATCTCCCCCTTTCCCCCCACCCCCTGGATGTATATTCTCCAATGAGACACATCCATAGCCAAGAGTCATGTTCTACAGTAATATTCTTGCACTCCGACAACTTTGGACTGCCAAGGCAATTATCTGAGGCATTTAAGGAATGCACTGCTTTCCCCCACTCCCTTTCTGCTGGCAACTAAAAGACCAAAGGAGTATTTTTTAGTTGACAATCTCGCCAATTTGGAACTCTACTCAACTTGACCCAAGTCCCTGGGGAAAAAGCCAGAGGTACCATGTTTCCCCCCCAAAAAGACTCAGTCTTATCTTCTTTTGGGACCCAAAATAAGCACCAGGTCTTATTTTCGGGGGATGTCTTCCCCGCTTCCCTTAGGAGCATTGTAGCCTTCTACACCCGGACACCTGTTGTGATGCTGTCAGATGTCTTATGCAGCCGCTCACAGCCGTTCATGGCATGAGGCCACCTGGCTTATTGTGCTGGTGCTGCCACTTATGTCAGGGTGTCACACGGCCCATTGCGCCAGTGCCACTGCTCACGAGATGGCTCATCATACCGGTTCAACTGCTCATGACAGGAGGCTGCATGGTGTATTGTGCCATTGTACACATGAGAGGTGGCACTGGAGCAACATGCCACACAATGTCCTCCTGTAAGCAGTGGCATTGGCATGATGCACCACATGTCAGCCAGCCGCAAGCAGTCAAAAGCAGCCGCAGAAGAAGTCGGGTAGCAGAGAGACAGGTGTCGGGGTGTGGGAGGCCTGGCTGCAGCGGTCCAAAGGTAAATGGGTTGTGGGGCAAGTGGGATAGCTCCACCCCCCACCCCCACCCTACCTTGATTTTTATGCATGCACTTCACCCCACCTCATACAACCAGATGGTTGATGGGACTTAACTGGGGCTTATTTTGGGGGGGTAGGGCTTATATTAGGCACAGGCATGAAAATTGGAATAGGACTTATTTTGGGGGTAGGTTGTATTTTAGAGAAAACCTGATAGAAGCTTTCTCTAAAAACTTGCTCCCCACAACCACAGCCCTGTGAGGGAACTTAGGTTGAGAAAGCACGACTGATCTTAATGGGCTTCCATGGGTTGAGAACTTGATTCTTCCTGTTGCTATTCCTTCTACCAGGTCTGGACTTAATGGCCTCATCCCTCTCTGCAACCAAAGGTTCACCTACCTCTTAGGATAGTCCCAAGTGCAAAGGTCTGCTGGAGAGGACCATCCAACGATCTGTGTTGGATCTGGCAGGTCAGCTGAGACTTCATATCTCCTTCCTCCAGCGGGATTTCCACCCTGCTCTCCACTTGGTATGAAATGTTCTGCTTTTCATAAGAATTCAGGATGTTGGTCTGGGCAGCCGGTATTCTTTTCCCATCCTTCAACCAGTTGACCGTGATCTCTTGGGGGGAGAATCCCAATGTGGAGCAGTTGAAGGAGGCCTGAGACCCTGCTGTGATTCTTTGTGTGGGGCCAAGAACCACAGGTTGGGATGGCTTGGCTGAAGGAGAAAGTAGAGAGAGAGAGAGAGACATCAGTTGACGTTCCTCACAGACAATACAGGAGAACACAAGATGGTTTTTGGTTGGAGAGACTCAACTTTGAACATGGGAATTACT